TATTTCCATGTGATGATATTGTCTCACGTTATAATTCTAACCGCAAGTCGATATTCCACGCAACTGAGGCGCCATCATTTGTTTAGACATATTTTTACCGTCGGGCATTTGGCTTGCAGTGAGCATCTTTGTGCGTGTGGATTTTTTCCTGTTTTGAGATTCCCCAGAAATAGGATCACTAAATACGTAAATTTTAGGGATCTAAACAGGAAAGGCAAATTGCTTTCTAAAAGATTTTTAGTATTAGTAATACTACGTAGCAGACGCACGCACGCACGCATGCACAGACGCGCACGCGCACACGCGCAGTCACGCAGTTTACGGAAACACCAAACAAAACGGTCGCGTTTGATGGGAGACAGCTCGGTTCTCGGATGCTCCCACAGTCTCCTAAAGGTTGTCTGTGCCTTTGCCTTGTTTCCTGTCATGCCAAAGCTATTTTACTGTCATAGAATCAAGAAAATATAAATTTAAAAAGTCGCTTGTAGAATAAAAGAACGTGAAGCAAGTTTTTTGTCATTATCGTTTAGCTCTTTTGAAGTCTATGATGCATCTCCATAGCCAATTTCCAGCCTCTTACATGGCGGTGCAAGGGCCCTGGGGACTGTTAGCCACTGGAGACCCCAGGTCCACTGCTGCTGGCTTTGGATCGGAACTGTGCTGCCCTCAGCCCTGCCCACGCCGATCCAGCTGGCCTGCCCCCTGTGTTCTCGGTTGAATTGTGTCCCCTAAAGAGATGAGTTGAAGTCCTAATCCCCAGCACCTGTGCATGTGACCTTGCTTGGAAATTGGGTCTTGGCAGATGTCATCAAGTTTAGACTCAGTCATGAGAAATTGGGTCTTTGCAGATGTCATCGAGTTTAGACGCAGTCATGAGGGCGGGCCCTAGCCCAGTAGGACGGGGTCCTAATAAGAGGATGAGACACAGACTCACGCACGGGGAGAAGGCCGAGGGAGGACAGAGGCAGAGATGGGAGCGATGTGTCAACGAGTTGAGGGACGGCAAGAATTGCCCGCAACGCGGGGGGCTGGGAGCGGGGCCTGGACCGCATTCTCCTCCAGCACCTTCAGAGGGAGGGCGGGGCCCTGCCGACGCCCGCGTGTCAGACTCCTGGCCCCGGGTGGGTGGCACGTTGCGGGGCCGCCCTAGGAAACAATGCCGCGCCTTTGGCGAGGAGCACTGTCTGCGCACGGCTCTCACCTCGGCGCGTGCAGCAGGCAAGCGGAGCTGTTCTCAGATACCGAGGCCTGGAGATGGGCCCGGGCTGAGTGGTGTCGCTACATCTGTGACTATAGGCTCTTGTCCCAGACTCCTACCCACCTGCTCCATGAACACCTCCTGGGATTCTGCTCCGTCCCCACACACGCTTCCTTTCTTGTGTTCCCCAGAGCCACCTGCCTGCTCTGAGCCGTCTCCCATGTGACTCACTTGCTCGGACACCAGCACCTCTGTTCGTGATGTCACGACATATGTTTACTGTGGAAACAAAGCTTCATCCTACTTGACAATTCCTCCGTCCCCACACACGCTTCCTTTCTTGTGTTCCCCAAAGCCACCTGCCTGCTCTGATCCATCTCCCATGTGACTCACTTGCTCGGACACCTCTTTTCGTGATGTCGTGACATATGTTTACCGTGGAAACAAAGCTTCATCCTACTTGACAATTCCCGACGATTCCAAATGACAGCTGACAGCCACCCTTCCACACAGACTCCTGTATTCCTACCTCAGGGTGTGTCCATAATCCACAGTGGCTTCTGGAAAGGGGACATTTTGCAACAGATACCCAAGCCCATTTCAGCTGCCTCACGCCTTTCCCCGGGTCTCTGCCACCCGCCAACGTGGCTTGCTGTTTTGGGCACTGGGCAGGAGCCCCTGTTCCTCTCCCTGGAGACAGGCAGTGGGTGAACGTGACCACACCACCCGGCTGGCCGAGAGCCTAGTCAAGGATGTCTCGGCCAGTTGCCTCCTCAGAGCAGACCCCACCGTCCCTCCAGGTGCAATTCACTGCTTTGCATCCGTCTTCTGTGACCCCTCACACACTTCTCTTACACGTGGACCACTAGCTCCACCCAGCTGAAGACCCCGAAGACCCGAAGACCAGGAACGCAGGGGTCTCCTCTGCCAGAGGACAGGAGAGTTTGGTGTTTGCGGTACAGCCTCGCGGGAAATGCACATCGAACCGCAGTAGAGATCACCCCGTGCCCCAGAACAGCGGAGGCGGGGGGCGGGGGGCCAGGGCCCTTGTGCGGTGTCGATGGGACCGTGAAATGGTGCAGGTGCTGCAGCACAGTGTGGCCGCCCCTCTGTGAACTACCACGGCTCAGAGAAACTCGCTGGGTGGTGACCGCTGCGGTCACTAGTGCCGTTTGCCCCCTTCTCCCTCACATGCAGGAATCTGGGGTCGTGGGGCTGAATCTGGGGTTGTGGGGTGTTCCAACTTGTTGGGAAAGACAGGCATATGGCCCTTGTTCGCCCAGCTCCCAGGACAGCCAGGCCGGCGAGGACGGCCCCCCACGCCGCCCTGCTCAGGGGCCCAACGGCGTCCTCTTTTAAGTGTGCCACCGCATGAAAAAAGATTGGGAAAGGTTTCTGTCTGGGACGATGGAAAGGTTCTGGAAATATGTGGGTGGCGTTCACACAACGTTGCAAACGTACTTAATGCCACTGGATAGCACACTTAAATGGTTAAGATGGCAGATGTCATGTTATGCATGTTTTTCCACATTAAGAAAAAGGTGGGAAGTACAGGTTTTGTGGTGATTAGGAAAAGAGTGAGGGCACCAACAGGGGGGTGGCAGAGAACGAGAGAACAGGACCCGAGGACCCGGGCAGTGCTCCCAGGGCAGGGGCGCTGAGGGAGGGAGGTGTGGGGAGAGCGCCGCCCCCCACCCCCGCCACGCACAGATCCCAGCCCGGCTCTGCTCAGCTCCTGCTCAAGCCCGTGACTTCCACAAAGCCGTCTCTGTTCTCTCAAGTCTTCAGGGTCACGGAGCCACATGGCACTTGTGTCCTGTCCTGGGGACCTTCATATCTCATTTCCAGCCACGTCGCAAGTTCCTGCCAGACACACTGGTGCAGGCCAAACGCCTCCCTGCCCATCACATGGCTGGTACACGCTGGGCATGGACCGGGTTCTCTCTACGCATTAAGTACGGCCAATGTTTTTTTAGAACGAGACTGGGGGGAAAATAAATAAATTTTAACTAATGAATAAAACGCCTCTTTTACATAGACATTGTAAACTTGTGCTTCGCCCTTCAGAGCATGTTCACGGTCGTGCCCACGGTGGCTCGGGCCTGGGGTGGCGTGGCGGGCATGTATTGATTTCAGTGAGACTGCCCCTGTCAGAGGCTTGAACTCCCTCCTCCCAAATGACTTCTGACTACTTGCAAACAAGCTCAAAGGACAAAGATACAACGCGTTGAGAAGATTCAAGAGAACGTGAAATCCTGGAAATGGCTGACACGGAGTAGGTCTCCCCAAATAGATGACAGGATCTAAACCCCATTCTTATACAAGAATTCCAGAATGTTTAGAGAAATGGAAGCATTGATATAACTCATATAAACACTGCTTTCATGTGTTGGACTTTAAAGGCCTGTGAGGTTACTTTTTTAGCTAGACTCACAAGCTTAGTGCCAGAGGCCAGGTAGGCACCTTCAGAGAGCAAAGCCAGTGGGGTAGTGAAGGCTCTGGGTACCGCTCAGCCCCAGCCACTAGCTGCTAGATCTTCAGGCTTTTCCTAAGAGAAGCTGGAAGTCCAGATTTGTATGTGAACTAGCCAAGTATTTAAATAGCAACACCGTGGGGACTGTTTAGGGCCACACTGCCACATTCACGGAGATCACCTACTCATTCCTGGCCATGAACCTTAACGCCCACTGCACTCAGGCCTGCCTTCCTCCTCCCTTGCCCCTCACCAACCCAACATCAGCATCAACGATGTCATTGTAATGAGCATGCAGAGCCTGGAGAATGAGTGCCCGGCTCCAACTCATACGAGAGGCACAGGAGGGGTCGAATTCAAGACTTTTCACTCAATCCAGCTTGCTCCCCATCATCCGCTTCTCCCCTTCGCTGCCAGCCGGCCAGCCCCAGCTCTCCTAGCTGCCCAGCCCGGGGAGCGACAGCTACAGAGAAGTCTGGATCAAGCACCCGTCATAAAGACAGAACCCGTGGGAAAGTATGATGGCAAAGCAACTTCATATGCCATTAATGTCCTTCCCCATGGTGCCCGGCGGGGTGGTAGGTGGGGCTGCTGTTCTGAGACTCCCTTGGGAGAGCCTCAAACAGAGGCAGAAGCACTAGAGCTCCAGAGCCCTCGGTGGCATGTGCCTCCATGGGAACACGCCAAAGGGCACATGCCCCCTCTATGCATTCTCTACAGTTCCAGCCTTCAACACCTGGCATGAGAAATGTAGGCTAATCTTTCTTCCTCATCAGATTTCTGAGCTAGAAGCAGGGAGCAGGGGAGTGGTTTGGCAATTAGCTGTTCGGTTTCGATTTGGTAGAGCAGTTACCTGCAGCTGGCTGAATGGCACTCACACAGGATGGACGGGAAGAGTCCCGTGTGCAGATTAGAGAAGAGTCAGGGGTCCCCATCCCCCAACCCATTTAACAGCCCCAGAGCTTTGGGATTTCACTTTAATGACACGGTCAGTGCACAGATGAGCATCTTTCCCTCTCCCTGCTGAGCTCCCGGACTCGGAGGGAGTGGTCCAGGGAACTGATGCTCTTGGTGGGAGCTTTCCAAGGACTCAGGCCTGAACTCTTCCCAGCGAGGGTCCACCGCGTGTTGTCTTTGTCAGAGAATGTCAAAAGTGATTGTCCTTTCCGGACTTTCCCCCAGCGAGATGGAGAGGGAAGGAAAATGGCCGGCAGGGGCCAAAGTCATTCCTGCAGCAGCGGGCGCCACCGTGCTCGCCCACTTGGGCCTGGGTCTTTCCCGCTAGGGAGCAACAGAAGGCAAAGGAAAGGGTCGCGAGGAGAGCGGGGCTCAGAAGAAGAGCGGGGGCGGGGCCGCCTCGGTGGGAGTGGGCCAGGCCGGGACAGGGAGGTCGGCCTCGGATGCCAGATGCGCGGCTTCACCGTGGATGCGCTGGTGCCGCACCAGGTGGGTCTTGCGGCTGAAGCTCTTGCCGCACTGCGGGCAGGAGAAGGGGCGGGAGCCCGTGTGGATGGCCTGGTGGCGAACAAGGTTGGTTTTGGAACTGAAGCTGCGGGCGCAGACGGCACAGGCGTGCGGCCGACTGCCCGTGTGCACCGCCTGGTGGCGGCCCAGGTGAGACTTGCGGCTGAAGCGGCGGCCGCACTGCGCACAGGCGAAGGGTCTGGCGCCGCTGTGGGCCCTGGAATGGGCGACTAGATTGGGCCT